CTCAACGCAATCGTCCTTGTAACTTTGACTTAAATGAGATCGTAGTTGTAGGAGAAGCACCAGTACACGAGGAAGATATGTATCAACCGTAACTAATGACAGCAGAGTATGAGGTTGAATCTCAAGGAATATTCTCACTAGGTGATGAATGGTCCTTGCCACTAATGTCATGGCCAAACATCTGGTCATGAAGAGGAACAGAGGTAGGACCAAGAGCATGAGCAGGAGGAAGAGCAAGGTGTGGGTGATGATGTAGATACAGGAGGAAGATATAGGGAATTTTTTTCACGTCTACTATGTCTATTTGTTCAACCTCTTGATAGATATAGTCTGTTACTAATCAAGAAGAAAAAGGGCAAAGGAGGATAGTCATATTGTTATTGTTTGCTTACTTTATTATGTAATGTAAGAGTCATGTTGTTATTTGTTGTTTTATTTTGTTTGATTAGTTCACGTCGTTATGTAATAGGATTTTAATCAGTTATTTTAATTTGTTTGATTATGTTTATTATAATTGTTATTAATTTAAATTTTAATTAATCCATGAAATTAAAATATAACAAGAACAAAAAAATTACTAACTCAAACAACGATATTTATTATAATATCACAAGACATAACAAGACATAAGTAAATATTTTGAACAACTACAAACATTATGAAACTAAAAACAATTACATCAAAATAGATGGTTCAACATAGTATATTATCACAACTACACATCATGAACTTGGTCTTGGAGCATGAGGACATTGCCTTCGACTGTGGTTTTCTACTCGACAAAGACTACATTGTTTTGGTCTTCTCATTTCATGCATATCCATTTCATTAAGAAAGTGAGTTGATTTGAGACGACCTTTAACTGTGCGCTTTAAGCTGAGATTAGGACAGAGTTTTGGTCTTCTATAGTGACGCCATGTGCTTTCATTCCCAATTACTGTAAACTCCTTCTTATAAACCTTGCAAACTTCCTTAATTATATAGACATTATCAACATAACCATGCCAATCAATATTTTTACTACAACATGCAGCAATTACGTGATGACATAGATATCTATTAGTATGCATATCACCACACTCACAGTACCTTCATCTAAGATCAACTCTATATTATTGGCTGTTTGATAACTCCTAAACATGGAAACTCTCATATTGTCTATCAAATTGAGTTACACGCAAGTTTTTTGCACCTAACTCATTTGATTGTAATCGAGTTGTCACATATTCAGAGAAAATATGTCCAGCCTTTCTCCGTGCATATGCTTCACTCCTTTTACGAGCAAATAATTCAGCCAATTGGAAGTAAGTTGCTCTTAATAGTCCAGTGATTGAAAGATTCAACCAGATTTGTGGTCATGTGGCCCCACCTATGGCCTCTGTCAAATGCTAGAACCCACTTCTCTCGAGGAATTTCATCAACCCAGTTAGAGTAGAACTCCCCACGTTCCCGTAATCTATCATAATGAATATTGGATTCACGTTCAGTTCTTGAATAATCTGCAAAAATTGACACGATTCGTATTAGTTAATTTAATACATATATTAATTCATATAACATTTTTATTTAAAATACATCAACATCGTGATACATACCCATGTAGACGACAAGTTTATGCAACTATGGAGCCTTGAATCTTTGTAAAAAAATTGCTGCAATATGCCAAATATAATACATGTGAAAGGCTCTCGGTGGTTCTCACTCTCCATTGCTTCTTCTTATTGCTGCATTAATTGACTCGTATCGATCTGAAATTATACCAACGCTATCTTGTGTGACAACGTGTCTGCATAAATTATCAAGAAAAAAAAAAACTAGGCATTCGAAGTCTCTCCCTCAACAATAGCAAAAGTAATCAGTAAAATATTCTGATTACCATCTTGTGCAACAGCTACTATGAGAACTCTCTTGTATTTTCTATATAAATGTATTCCATTAACTTGCACAAGTGATTTGCAGTGTCCAAATGCTCCAATACAAGGACCAAAAGTCCAGAGCACTCGACGAAATATTTTAACATTGGGAATTAATTCATTCGCACGGTAGGCATCGACAGCATCCAACTAAACAACAGAACCTCAAACAATGTCACACATCGCTAAACACCATTATAGTTAGGCTTCAAATAAGGCTTCTCATTGTCTATAAACTTTTTTAATCGCCTTTTGTTTTCCCATCCATGTTTTCCGATATGTTGTTGTGTAGCCATATCGAGACTGAATTTCACTAATAACGAGTTTTATCTTAAAGGAAGGATCATACTCAACCATTGGCTTTATACATTCTGCAATTGTGTCTGAATCCAATTTAGTATGATCCTGAGAAATCCTTCCTCTTGTACATGTGTGCAGACCGTTGTACCTTCTGATCTCCCAAATAAACTCGTTCCTTCTAAAACTAGCACGAAGAAATCATCCACAATCTATTCCATACCTCACATTTACAATAAAATGTATTTGGTTCTGACTCAACCACTGTAGTCTACTCCGTTTGCTATACTATAACACTTAATTGTTCGTATATCAGTTTCTCTATCATTAAATTGCTTTCCAACATACAAGTCTCCATCTACATCAGAAAAACCTATGAAATGCAAACACAAATATAACAAATTAAAAAACTATAATTTAATTCATCAACAACATTTTTAAAAATAAGACATACCTAAATTTGCATGCTTTGAAAACTCAGTTGCGTGTATAGCATCAAGATTTAATGAAAGCATGAAAGATGGCTCCCCAAATGTATGTTGGCCAATCACTGTGTTTGACAAATGGATCTCATCATGACCATCGTCATCCATATCTTCATCTTCACTTAACTCATTGCTTCTATATTCCCCTTCAGAGTCAGAGTCAACACTTTCATTATTAGCATTTATCCATTCTATATCTCTGTTTGGTACACTGCTTACATATGTTTCATCAGCATCTTCTTCATCAATGTTAATTGCAATGTCTTTGAAAAAAAATATATAACTCAATGGCAGGAGTTGGCGGATGACACCGTTGATGTATTTGAAACATTTGTAGAACATCAGCATCATTCGTTATTGGAAGTGTCTGATATTGTATAAAACCTCCAAATATTGATATTGGACACCTATAAACAATACTTTTTACTGCCTTTGGAAACTCAAATACAATATTTTCAGTAAGCCAATGTTGCAATTCTCCAAATGATACATTCTCTCTCATATATACACATGTTGGGCTTTCATAACTGAATAATACACGTTCACAAGTATTTGTAATAATCTCACCATTAAAGTAAATCAATAAAAGTACACTCATTTTTTTTTCAATAAAAAACTCACTTTCTCTATCTACAATGTTTCCTCTCCGCTTACTCTCTATTTAAAATTTTACTCTTGCAACTTATAAAGAATGAAGAACTCGATATTTATAGGTAATTATTATAAAGTTGTCCTTAGCAATTTTCAATTTTTTTATTTAATACCATCTAAAAGTCGTCAATGGTGATTTTTTATATGCTTTTAATTTTTCAGACTCCTAAAAGTTGCCACTGACAATTTTATGTACTTTTTAAATATTCAAAACTCGCAAATGACAATTTTTATATATTTTTAAATTTTTTTAAATTTTAAATATCATCACTAGCAATCTTATAAATATATAATTTTTTTTTTAAAATATTACCATTGGCGAGTTTTGATATGATTTGATATTTTTGAATTAAAAAACACCATTGGCAAGATTTGATAAAATTCCATTTTTGTGTAATAAATAAAAAAAAACCCATATTATTGAATATAAATACCATATAAAAAAAACAGCCTCATAAACATTCATATATATTTTAATATTTTTATAATATATAAATTTTATAACAAATTTTTATTTAAAAAATTATTATAGTAAAATGTTTAAACTTTTTTTTGTTTATTATAAAAACATTTCTATATAATATATTCAACTTCATTTCTTTCTTTTTTATTTATGCAAATAAATAAAAAATATTTTTCTATTTTTTTATTCAAATAATACATTTTTATCCTATTTTTACAATTTTACCGTATTTTCGCTCTTTAATTTCTTTCCTCCATATTTTGTTAATCATCTAAACAAGTGTAAAGCGCTTCGGCCCATAGATTGAATCCAATATAGCTGGGATTATTTTAATTTAAAAATCTGTTTATGATAATATAATTCGATATTGAGCCCGTTTGCTTCTCTATTTTTTTTAGCTCAAAATTAATTTTATCCGCAAAATGAAAGATTAAGATGTTCTTTTTAACAAAACCCTAAGTCCATCCACAGGCAGCGATTCTTTTTAAATTCTAACAAAGTCGATTCTAATGCATACTCAAATGGACACATAAACTTGACTTCGACATAGTCACTCCTTGTCGCGTAACTTTTTAAAAAATAAAATTCTCATTAATAAATAATTCTGTTAAAAATAAAATAAAACATAAATAGTCAATCATACATTCATTTAAATAATATAAAAATACACTTTAAATTTTATTATATTTTAAAAAAAAATCTTTCAAGAACTCAACTTACTTCTTCCATTTCTATCTGAGGTTAGTTAAACCAAAAGTCAACCCGAGGTATCTACTAATACCTCAAAATTTTTAATTCCAGATATAAAAATGTTGATATTAATTTTTCAAGTTAATTTTAAATGATTAAAAATGATAATTTTATATTAAAAATATATTTTTCAAATGATATTTAAAAGAAAATCTATATATATATATATATATATATATATATTTGTATGCGCCTTGATACAAGGGATTGGAGTTGACAATACTTAATTTGTCCATGGACAATTTCTAAAAAAATGTATCAACCATGAAAGGGTGTAACGTGATATAGTATTGCCTTGTAGTGGGCCACATAACATTTATGGGACAACCTTCACGCTAATAGGGACGCGTGGGTGAACGTTCACTTTCATTGTGTCAGAAGAAAGAAGTTAAGGGCTAAGGAGCATGCAATTACAAGCAACCAAGGTTGTTCTGTTTGGTCACACTTTTGACTCTTGCTATTTGCCCACCTTAACGTAATGTCCTCATTTTCTCTTTTCCTTGTCTTGTATTACCCTTCACACTTTACCTTTGTGCTCACCCCAGATTCCAATTTCCCTTAGCACCTCCAATTTGTCATCTTTTCAATACTGTGTCTTCATCTATTGACCTTGTTTCCCTGTTTCTGTGGTGCCAATTGGATGTTAAAGTTAAAGGCCTTGCCTTTTGGTTCTTTGGTGATTCTTTTCTACTTCTTCGGGTCAAATCTGAAGATGGGTGTTCTTCTTTAGCCATCACGAATCTAAGCATTTCCTTGATTTGGAGAGTAAGATGAAGGATTTCCCCGGGACACCTGGTACTGTCCTTGGTTTGGCTCTTAGGATGTCACAGTTCATTTTTGCTGCTGGATCAATTGCTTCCATGGCTACCACTCCTAGTTTCTTTAATTTTACGGCTTTTTGGTAATTAAAGATTTTGCTTCTCTGAATCTCTTTTTCATGGGTTTATCTCTTTTGGTGTGATTTTGTTGCAGTAGCCTCATATTCCTGAAACACAGTAATAGGCACATGTTGTGCAACTGTTTGTTATTAACTAGCTTTTTGAAGCAAGTTTAGCACCCTGTCTGTTACAGTCGTGACTTGCATTTATGCTGGGGATTTACCATAGTTGTTGGGAATTGGGAACTCCGATACTTGTTTCTGGATACAAGAGATGCGAATAATAATTTATGCGCGACTGAATGGATCACTAACCAGTTGCTTTTCACTTTACCTTGATGACATAGGTCTACAAAAGAATAACTAGCGAATATCCTGTATATTGCACGGCTAATGTTAAAAAAACTATTTAAGGAAAAGATTTATTAAACTGGTAGAAGATTATTTTTTATAATGGAAATATAAAAATACACGCCTTTAGATTCCTTTACTAGTGATTTGGAGATATCCCATTATATTTAATATTGATTGAAGAAATTTAAGCATTGAAAGAAATTAAGGAAAGTGAAATCTCCTTGGATTGAATAACCAATGACGGGGAAACAAAATATTGTTTTGACGTGTCACAAAATGCGGAAGGCACATTGTTATGTAGACGGAGAATACAGATAGATGGATTATCCCACTCTCAAGAACGAGGATCAAATTTATTATATGGGGATGGATTAAGTAAGAAGTGTCTGATTTGTTGGATTAAATTTCTGAACCTGGATGTCTAATAGGAGGAAAGGAATCAAAGAATATTTAGAGTTGTGAGAGTGATGAGAATGGGAATAGCCATCTTCTTTGTGAGTTAGGTCCATCTACATTGTCATGAAACTTGCACGTAAAGTTCTTGCATTCTACCAAAACATTATTAACTGGGGTACATCTTCGTTCTTAACTAGTTGTAAATAAGAAGCGAAAGTTCTATGTTTATTCCTGCTTAATCTTTAGTTATATCTACAAAGCATTGACAATAAACTGCCATATTTACAATTTATTGGCGTACATGTTTATACAGAAAAGGAAAAAAAAAATTTCTTGATTGTTTGACTATTGGAGGGAAAGTCTTGGCATAATGGTGTGGTTGCTGAGTGGTTTTCAAATTGTGCGAGCAGTAGAACATGAACCTCAACCTACTAACATTCAATTTCAAACACATTTTCCTAGTTATTTTGACACAGAAGGTGTACTTGAAGATTTTGGCCTGCCTACTGTGGAAAACAATTTACAGTGAACAATTAAACGTGTTTGGCACCAAATTCAAAATTCACGAATTCTTTGCTCTTTTTAGCAACTATTCTTCATGATTTGACCCATTTTAACCAAGGTATGCTGTTACCCCTTCCTACAATAAAATCAAGAGAAACTTAGCTAGTTCAAGCAGTAAAATAACAATTATAGTGGAAAAATAGGTTAAAATCCTATAGATAAAGTGGCAAAATGATAGTGTATCACGTGCTTTTGGTACCCATTGAGCCAATGTAAATTGATTCCTAAGACAAGATCTAATTGGTCGAAATTATTTGATTGTATTTTCATTTTGACCAATGGAGTGAAAAACACTATACAAAGAGCCTAAGACTATGGGGGTGATTGTTTTCGTTTCACTAGATTACTTGTCAAATGTGATGTATCCTAGTTTAATCAGATTCATTAGTAGACATGTTCACATGATATTCCCTCTTAATCCTGCTCCTTAAAGCCTGTGAAAATTACTTTTAGATCATGACTACTACTTATAAAGTACAAATTCATCTTGTTGACATGAAATTTTAAGCTCTTTTTTTTATTCAGTGTACGCTTGGATGCTAAGAATTGAATAATTGAAACGGAAAATGGCTATATGAGCTTTGGTTTTCCATGCAATATTTGGTGACTGAACTAACAGTGGAATTCTGAATAAAATGAATCCAGCTCAGCTGAGTATAAAACTAGGCTTGGAGGTGAGATTGAGAGGGGAGTTGGTAAAAAAGGGATGCCTTCTGTAAAACCTCAGTGGAGTGTGATGTAACTGCAGACTATTTATTTTGTTCTGTTTCATGTATTTGCTTGTTTTCCCAATGAAAACATTAGTCATGAACTGTTTTACTATTGATATGGTGGTCTGAAAATGTGCTTGTGTTGTTCATTAATAGCTTGCTTGAATGTTGGATATGGAATAACTTGATATTGATCATTCCTTTTGTATCAGTTACTTGATAGCTTCAATGGGTTTACAAGTCATTTGGAGTTTTGTACTTGCTTTATTGGATGCATATGCCTTGGCGAGAAAGAAGGTCCTCCACAATGCTGTACTAGTTAGCCTCTTTGTAGTTGGAGATTGGGTTAGTTTCTGCCAAGACCTTTACTCTTACAACTTACTATTTGGTTTGTTACATACAGCAACAGCTCTAAAGTTATGATTTTCCCTTTACAAGTCTTCTTGATCACTGTCCTCAGGTAACAGCAACACTATCTCTAGCTGCAGCATCTTCCTCAGCAGGCATCACGGTTTTGTACTTTAATGATTTGGGACACTGCCATTTTGGAGATGAATGCCAAAAGTACCAGATTTCGGTTGCACTAGCCTTCTTGAGCTGGTTACCAATTTCAATCTCATCCCTAATTATGCTCTGGCTATTAGCTGCAGGGTAGCGAACTCTATATTATGCCAGCATTGTCTCATCCAACAGATGTTCATCTCACTGAAAAATTTATTTGAAAGTGTCAATAGGAAAGGAAATAGAGTAGAGGTTTACACTCGTTTAGATTGATTCCTTCAGTTCAATCAGAAATGGGATAGCACCAGTTTGTAAAGAGAGAGAAAAATTGTATATGTGATTTTGCCTTGCAAAGAAATTAGGCTTCCAATATTGTTATGCTGAGTTCCTGATACTGTGACTGGAAGGTCAATACTATTATGTTTACAGGAAATTGGGGTGTTAATACATGTTTTAGCTAGATTGTTTTCTCTTATCTCATCTCACCTCATCTCACTTGTATCTATTTGATAGATACTTGAAAAGGGCTTTTGTTTTTCTCTTAGATCTCTTCTGTTCATACATCATTTTCTTACAGGCTATGACTGGATTACCTTTATTATGCCGAATCCTGGATTATTATGTCCCTGATGACTAAAATAAGCATTGAGAAGAAACCGTGTAAGAGATATATCAGAATTTTAAGCGTGGTACGATCTAAGATTGGGAGATTAATTGAACTTAAGTCTAAGTAATTTATTTGTTTAAACTAGAATATTTAAACAATTTAGACTCAATTCTCTTGCTTATATGTCTTGCTGACCAACGTGAGACTTTAACAAGATAGACAGTGGTGGTGTCATTGCGAGAATCTGATATTGTTTAAGAACAGACGATTTGGGAGGTGTAAATCACTAGCCAAAAGTTGTTACATTAGAGAAGAATCAGAAGATACAAAACAACTAACCAAAAAAGTTGAAACATTTTGTTAGATTTAGAACACTGACGGAACGTTGACATCATGGTAAATTTCAGAAAAGCAAATCAGTGTTTGGTTTGCCATTGGAATCTACCCACCTCACAAAAGAATTTGTCAGTAATTCGATGGGAGTCATATCAAGAATCGTATAAGTGCGAAGGATTTGCCTTAAAGAATGTAATATGTAGCTGATTTTAGGCGCCGCGAATCTTTTATTTTTCATTCCCTCTTAAATTGTGTTATATTAAAGTAACAGTATAGTCCAAATACATTGTTTATTTCTCTCTTTCTTTCTTAGTCCACAAGAAACTTCGTTTGGAATGAAAACCATGTTCCCCATTATCATTTTACACCGACAGTTATTTTCCACTATTGAATTAATTTTATTTCCTTTTTCTAATTAATATAATTATTCCATTAGAATATTTAAATTTTCAAAATTAAAATGAGGGGAAAACATAATCAAATAAATGAAAAGTTTTGATACCACGTACGACGGTTGAAGCATAGAATCATCCAAGTCAAGTGTTACTACAAAATAGTGTTCGGATTCCTCATAAGCGTCTACAGTAGAAGGCATATAGAATGGAACATTTTTGGTTCCTCACAGATCAGCGACATCCTGAAGTAACTGATTTTGATTTGAAAGCACGTACTTTAGCATTTTGCCCCTTAATTTATTTACGTGAACTTGTGGCTCTGAAAACACGAGGCACTTGTTAGTGCCGTCTTCATGTTCAAGTTTGCTTAATAAAGGAATACCACTAAATCAATATTATATTATTTTAAGCAGAAACAACGATCCACTATGGTGTTAGTGGAACTCAGCATGACATTAACGGCAACACAAAATGCTAAAATTTTAAATGGATTTTTAACATGTTTTGGGATATACGAAAAAGAAAAATTATATATAATATTATTTTATTAAAAATCTTATAAGATCACTAAATTTAATGTACTTATAGCATTAAATATCATATTTTTTAATGAGTTGAGTATTTATTAGTGATTGCTTAATAGTGAGTATCAATGAATACACGTTAAAAAAAATTAATTTTAAATCATGCAGTGAAATTATTAAAACTACTGTATTTGTACAAGATAAGGCATAGATTGAGCCAACAAAACCTAGTGGAGCGTTGGAAGCCGCAAAATTGCCAGATTATTGATGGGCCCAAAGGTGCGTGTTACGTTTGAAATAAGCTAAATAATTATTGCTTCCAGACTAGGAAGCCACTACTTCTGAACCAAAAAAAAAAAAACTATGAAACCACTACAGATATTTCTTTGATTTTTTTAATCAATTTTATAAATATCATTATTTTAAATATTTAAAAGATAAATTATTTTTTATATTTTTCACGTAATACATATTTTTAATATAAAATGATCACTTTTAATTATTTTAAATTAATTATAAAAACTAATATTAATTATTTCCCTGTCCCCTTTGAAGGTACTTTACTAGTGATGGCATATTTCTGGATGTGAAATTCAATACGGAGAATAAGTATTTTTCCGCGGGCATAGATGCAGGTATATTATTTCCACTAATAATGCTTTATAAGGCAAATTGTACTTTCCCTCCTAATCCTATACAGGAAAAAGCAAAAATGCACTATCGCTTTAGACGATTAATTGATAAATAATTTTTTAAAATTGTTATCGTTTCAGATAATTTTAAATACTTTTATTTTAAAAACACGATTATATATATATATATATATATATATATATATATATATATATATATATATATATATACCAATACTATCCACATCATGCTTGAATTCAGTTATACAATTCAAGAAAACGTTTTTCATTAATTCAATTAAAAGTTCTAAAACTTGGATATATATGAATCGACTAATATAAAGAAACTATCAAGATAATCTGCGTTTATGCTGTGGACAATTATTGCTTGAGTGCTTCGCACCCGTCATTCACCAAGGTTAACTGTTTTGGAAGGTAGAGATTTATAAAGAAGAAAGCTCAGTGATGGATTTCTACAAAGAAAAATTATAAATATTCCTATTTTTTATATTTATAATTAAAATTTTAATTACTAAATATAAAAATGCCTAAATATATTTTTGGTTATATAATCTTGAACTAGCAATTTTTTAAAATGAGAATATATACCATCTTGTATTCTCTACCTGACATCTTTTGTGAATTTAATAAAGAACAGGATACCAACATCTCATGCATTAAGAATCACATTCAACTAGGAACCATTCCATCAACTTCTATACTATATTTGTATGTGTTAAGCTTCTTGAGAAAATTCGTGCACAAGGGCAATTAATCACATTCAACAACTAGCTAGCTCTGATTAATGGAACAGAAAAGATTTTCTGTTGTGCTTGTATACAGAGAGTTCAAGCCACACCTGCTTATGGTCTTAGCCCAGGTGGGCTATACCCTCTTATATTTCATCACTGAAACCTCCTTCAATCATGGGATGAATCCTTATGTGTATGTAACCTATCGCCATGTTGTGGCTGGGGTTGTGATGTTCCCTTTTGCATACTTTCTGGAGAGGTACTTATCCATTTCTATGCAAGGGATGGTATATATGCATATGCTTGATTTGATTCATGGATGCTTTGTTTTGAGTGCATTCTTGCTTTTGTTATCCATCTTTGGTTGCATTTTAATATCAAATTAAATATTAATTTAGCACTTACACTCCTGATTAATTTCAATTTGTTTAATGATATAACACTTCAATTTGGTATGATCCTAGAACTTTAATAATGCATCTGACAGATAATTTAATGTTTTCTTGCAGGAAAGCAAGACCAAAGCTGACATTTGCTCTTTTCATGGAAATATTTTTGCTTTCTCTGTTAGGGTAAGGACAATGCATGCTCCTACAGTTATAGACCATAGGGAATTAAGTATGCAAAATTGATTTGTCTAACTTACAAAAAATTTCAGGATTACTTTGACTGTTAATACGTACTTTGCAAGCCTGCAATACACAAGTTCAACCTTTGTTGCTTCCATGGTCAACACCATAGCTTGCATGACCTTCCTTATTGCAGTGGCTCTCAAGCTTGAGGCTCTTGATCTTCGAAATCCTCGTGGGATAGCGAAGGTTCTAGGGACCTTGATCTCCTTAGCTGGTGTACTGATCATGACGCTATACAAAGGACCCGTTGTGAGAAATTTATGGCATCCTCTAATCCATATTCCACGGAAAAATGCTGCTATCACTGAAAACTGGTTAAAGGGTTCACTTCTTACAGTTTCAAGCTGTGTTACATGGTCTCTATGGTTTATTATGCAGGTTTTCACCATAACTTAGTCATAACTATTTACAAGTTTAATCTGCGAACGGTTTATATTTCATGCATAAACACCATCTGGCATCTATGTAATGTAAAGAGTAATCGTTTTTTTAAAGTTTTTGTTAATACATTTAAATTTAATAAATATTTTTTGATAAAATTTTAATTTTATTAATTATTTAAATTTATATCTAAAGGCTGGAACTAAGTTTCAGATTTTTATTGCCCCTCGTTCTTCAGTGTAATAATTATTAAAAACTGATTATCGTTTGACCGTGGAAATTCAGGCAATCACATTGAAAAGATATCCTGCTCAACTATCACTCACTACGTGGATGTGTTTGGTTGGAGCAACACAATCAGCTGTTTTCACAGTTATAGCAGAACACAACCGTTCAGCATGGACTATAGGGTTCAACATTGACTTGTGGTCCACACTATATGGTGTTAAGTATAATAATGAGATGATAAGAAAAGAAGTACAAAATCTAGAGTTCTAACGATATCTATCATTCATGACAGGGAGTTGTCGTTGCTGGTTTGCTAACTTACGTTCAACTATGGTGCACTGAGAAAAAAGGGCCCGTTTTTGTCACCATGTTTAGCCCTCTTTCTACGATATTAGTGGCAATTCTCGCCTACTTTGTCCTTGGAGAGAAACTTTATCTGGGCAGGTAGTAATCGATGCCTCATAATTTTTTTTTTAAATTACAAAAGCAATGAAATAGATAAATTTAATTTTAACATGCATGATGAGTTTTGTTTTACACTTACGTCTCTTTTAGCTTGCCCAATACTCATTAACATAAGTTTTCTTTTATTTCTCCAAAGTGCAAACATTATCCTGAAAATCAGGAATATGTAGTCAATGGGCAGTTTTTTTCTTCGAAAATTATCGTTGCGTTTTTTAAATAATTAAAAAATACGTGGAACTAGTATATGCATTTGATAATATCTGATATTACCGGCATAAAGTAGTACAGACATATACAATTTATTAGCAGATTTGTATGTAGCTTTACACATGAATTACAGCATGTGACATTATTTACTTATTCTTGGACCTAAATTAAGTATAACCATGCATGCACATAACATAAAATATTCCTGGAATGAGAAATACTATTCTGAAATTTGCTTCCCATTAAACTTCAGCATCATAGGTACATCGATTGTCATCATGGGTCTGTACTTGCTGTTGTGGGGCAAAGAAGGTGATCAAGAGGTTTGTATCAAGACCGAAGATAAATTGCAGTGTTGTACTGAAGACCCAGAATGCGAAATATAGTCAATAACTTTAGCTGGAAAGGAAGAAGTTCATGTCCAAAGTGGCAAGAGAACACAGCATATAGGTGATCATGAAGATTTGTAGTTATGTTTTGGCCAAACATTTTTGTGGAAAATCACTTGAACATTTATTCATTTCCAATCCTCTGAAGTCAGACATCAAGTAGAATATTTTTGTTATTCATATTTTACCTACCAGCATAACATTTTAAAACCTTTCTTTTAAAATTCAAAGGAGTTACCACAAGAAATTATAATAGGTGCTTTGAGGGAAGTGACCGACAAGGATATTTCAAATGGATATAAACAATTTTCATGTCGTTTCCGACCAACGATGTGGTGACTGGTGAGAACACATCCACTAGTTGTAACGTGTAAGCCAAAATAGAAGCTTCATATTTTTACCCCTTTCATGGAACCAAGTCTCAATTGATTCTTTAACACATTTTAAAATCAACCAACCAACAGCACGAGAGTGAGAAGAAACATGAATTTGTCGTAAAAGTAAACTGAATATAAAAATGCCTCTTCGAAATTACACAAAGGCCAAAAGTATTTCCAAATCAATGAATGATCATTAGTCTTGTCTTATTATATCCATACTGCCACACCATACATTAATTCAATTAAACAATTCAAGGAAGTTTTTCTTTCCATTATTAAAGATGAAAAGACATATACACATATGAGCTCACGTGTTACACACATATAATAACTTTTTATAAAAAATCATCTGTTGAATATTTTATATTATCTATATAATTAGGTATAAAAAAATTTATATAATGTGAATATTTTGTAAATATGTTATTTAAAATTATTTTATATATTTTAAAAATATATTACATATTCAAATAAAATAATACAATGAAGTATTTATTCATTTTATTTTTGTATAAAATTTATAAAATAGATTTATTTGATATAAAAGTGTTCAAACTAGCAATAAAATTAATTAATTTTGGGTTTTATAAAATTTTATTAAATAATATAAGTGTTTAAGTTTATCACTTAATATTAATATCTTGGACTAATATGCATTCGCTGTGAGTTATTATCGCTTCAGATTAATTTTTGGGTGCGAAGTGGTTATAAAAAAAAATGAGGAGTGGAACAAAAGATATTTAGAGGGTCACCTTTAGTTTTCACTTTTCAGACGTATTTGTGCCCAGATATTCACTGCAGAGACGTGAAAAAGATGATCAAATTAAGTTTTCAATTGGGATGTCCACTTCAGAGACGTGAAAAAGATTATCAAATTCAGTTATTCAATTAGGCTCCCTGCTCTGTAGTTCAGACACACAAGTATATAAATTTCCCTCTAAGTATTAATTCTTAAAAAAATATTTTAAATATAAATATTTTTAAACAAAAGTAATTTTGTGAATTATTTTTGAATTGTTAAATAATCTTTTCTAAATTATATATTTATTTAATAGTTTATTTTAAATGATTTAAGATAATAAAATATTTATTATTAATAATTATAAGTTTACTTTTTAAAAATGTATAAATTATATAATATATTTTTAATTTAAAAAGTTAATTTAATAATATCGCTACAGTGTGCAAAAAAATTACTGATTAATAAGAAAAATATTTACTTACAGTTTTGATTATGTAACCTTCAACCCTCTTTTTTCGAAAATGATAATTCATTAATATATACTAATCTTGTATTCTCCACATGCCTATTCTGAAGTCCTAGTCAGGAATTTTGGATACAGCATATGGAAATTCCCATAACTTGTATATATTATAATTGTGTGTTGAACTTCTTGAGAATTTATGAATAAGTAGAGGAAATAAGCAAATCTCTAAACTTATGGAACGGAAAAGATTTTGTTTTGTGCTTATATGCAGAGAGTTTAAGCCACACTTGCTCATGGTCCTAGTCCAGCTAGGCTTAAGCCTCTTATATTTCATCACTGAAGCCTCCTTCAATCATGGGCTGAGTCCTTATGTATATGTAACCTATCGCCATGCTGTGGCTGCGGTTCTGATGTTCCCTTTTGCATACTTTTTGGAAAGGTATACTACTTATACATATCTCTTCAAGACATGGCCTGCATTTGCATGATTCTCTTATTTGTGCCATGCATGTGCTTGATTGATTTGATATATTTAGCATTTACATTCCTGATTAATTTCAAATTGTTTGTTTTAACAATTGAATTTGGTATGATACTATAACTTTTTCATGCTTCTGACCATTAAACTTCTATGTTTTCTCGCAGAAAAGAAAGGCCAAAGTTGACATGGGTTCTTTTTGTAGAAATCTTTGTGCTTTCCCTAATAGGGTAAGGGTGAATATATATATATATATATATATATATATGTATGTATGCATGCTGCTACAGCCTATGAAAAGTATGGAAACTTGACTTTTCTGGCTTTAAAAAATTTCAGGATTAGTTTGACTCTTAATATGCACTTTGCAAGCCTGAAATATACAAATCCAACCTTTGTTGTTGCAATGCTCAACACCATACCTACCCTTACCTTCATTATTGCAGTGGCACTCAGGTTTGCTTAGTTCTTGATCTACATTATTTTGGAGTTTTTAAACACAAACCATTATAGTATTTACATTTTTTTAATATATCCTTAAGAGAGTCAAGTTAAATACAGGATTGAAATTCTTGATATTCGAAATCCTCGAGGGATAGCAAAAGTTCTAGGGACCCTGTTCTCCTTTGCTGGTGTAATGACCATGACACTATATAAAGGACCCATTATGAGAAATTTATGGCGTCCTCTTATCCATAGTCAGGGGAAAAGTGATGCTATCAATGAGAGCTGGTTAAAGGGTTCACTTCTTACTGTTTCAAGCTGTGTTACATGGTCTATATGGTATATTATGCAGGTTTTCACCTTAACTCAATCATAACTAAAAAAGAAGTTTTATGTGAACGTTTTATACGTCATGCATAAACAAAGAGCTCGCTTCAATATAAAGTACGTAGTTTAAACAAAACTATTTTTTGAATAATTTTTTATTCGTCCCTTTTCTTTTGGAGTGTATTTAACATGCCTGCGAATTGAATAAATAAAAAAATCTAAGTGATAAAAAGGAATAATTATATACAATGCTAATTTTGAATTATTCAAATATATTTTGTGATTATGGAAATTCAGGCAGCCACCTTGAGAAGATACCCTGCCCAACTATCGCTCGCTACGTGGATGTGTTTTGTTGGAGCAGCACAATCAGCTGTGTTCACAGTTATAGCAGAGCACAACCTTTCAGCATGGACTATAGGGCTAAACATTGACTTGTGGTCCACAATATATGGTGTTAAGTATAAATAATCAGCTGATATATAGTGCAAAATCTCTCCAGCAAAAAAGTACAAAATCTAGAGTTCTAACGATATCAATCATCAATGGCAGGGAATTTTCGTTGCTGGTTTGGTATCCTATGTGCTGTTATGGTGCACTGAGAAAAAAGGGCCAGTTTTTGTCACAATGTTTAACCCTCTTTCTACTATTTTAGTGGCAATTTTAGCCTACTTCGTCCTGGGAGAAAGACTTTATTTGGGCAGGTAAAAATCGATGCCTCAAAATTTCCATTTTTCAACATTACAAAGCAATGAATTGCAGATAAATCTTATTTAACATGAAGAATAATTTACATGTCTTTTGCACTGCCCTATACTTACAAGTCCTTTTTATGTCTCCAAAATACAAACATTATCCAAAAAACTAGAATATATTGTTAATGGATAATTATTTTTTCTTTGAATATTTCCATTCTGTGTTTGATAGTAATTAATGTCATGGTAACTCAGGTTTTAAATATGTGATAATATATATTTGAAAAATACCAAGATAGAATAATTACTAATGTGTAATAAGCACGCGTGCATTTAGCATACAAGGATTTACACATTGTTCTATCCATGAATTGCATCATGTTATGCTATTTATTCATCCTTTTACTTAACCCAAAATTAAGGAAAATCTTGCACATTTTATATCTTAGTGGTCCTTGGAATGAGAATTATAATTTTGAAAGTTGCTACTCATGTGGTCTTCTTCAGCATCATAGGGGCATTTGCTGTCATCATTGGTCTGTATTTGCTGTTGTGGGGAAAAGAAGGTGACCAGGATGTTTACAAGACCAAAGATAAATCGCAGCGCAGTACTGAAGACCCAGAATGCATAATATAGTTAATAGCAGGAAAAGGAGTGAAGTACACGTCCAAGTGGGAAGAAAATAGAACATACAAATCATGGAGATTTATAGTCATATTACGGTCAATCATTCTGTGCAAAACTCGCCTAAGAAATATCGCTTTCCATTCGTCTGAAGTCAGACATCAAGTTAACTAAAGAATAATTTTGTAATCTATATTTTACATACAGTGATATTGTATGAGTTACCACAAATACCTTACTATTTTCTATTTTTGTTTCTCTAACTAATACCTTTAAGATACCCATTACTAAAACAACAAAAAAATACTTCAAAAGAAAATTTTATTTGAGTTAAATTTAGAATATAATTTTATTCCTTTTAATTCCTTTATGAGTTGACAAAAACATTGTGACAAAAACTGGCAGGTAGTCCTAAAAACAAACTACATTTTTACAAGACTTGCACTGATTCCACGTAGTTGGCATTCAACAGACTGCTGCAACGATTGTATATTATGTAGGATATGATGATAAATACACGAAAGTAAAAAAGAAAAGTATTAAATTTGATGTGTCATTTGATCATATAACAGAATGTTGGTACAGTATTATTTAACCTTTGGTGAGAAGTAAGTTGAAGCAATGTGGGGAATAATCAGATGACATTAGCCTCATTTTTTAGTTTATCAATCAGCTCATCCACTGAAGAAACAATAACCCCTGCTTTTCTCTTGGGAGGTTCTGTTACTTGAACAATCTCCAAATCAGATTTGATTTCCACATTCAACTCCTCCGGAGTGAATTTTTTAATGGGCTTCGATTTTGCTTTCATTATGTTGGGAAGAGTAGCATACCTTGGTTGGTTCAGTCTCAGATCAGTGCTGCAACAAGAAAATACTCAAATTTTACATATCAAGAAAGAAACTGAAGTGACAAACTTTTCCCTCGCATTTCTCACAAGAGGTAATTTGGAGACATTTCGTTGGTGAATGAGTTGTTGAGTAGATAAGATTACCAATGAAATTTCTCTCAAATCATCCATATGTGAGAACAACTATGTGTGCAACTATAAATATCCATATGATACAAGCATTCATGCAACATATCATCTCAACTTAAGTAATCCCTATAATAGCTTTTGGAAATGAAAACGGATTCTTGTTTGACTGATGAGTTGAAAAACTTTGATTAAACAAAATCAAAAATCCAGTACTACACTACATTTAGCATGATATTTTCCTTACTTTTCAATCACACCAAATGAAATAAACGAGCAATATTATTCAATAGAAATATTCGATTACTAATCTAGGGAAAAGTCACAGACAGGATTGTAGGTTGCTCCAGGATCGAAGGAGTTAATTTGAATTTTATTTATGAAAGAAATGAAAATAAAGTGGAAAATTAGAATAGACTTACCCTGGAGGGTGCCAGTAAAAAAATGCAAAGCTTCTTAAAATTTTAGATAGGTTTGATACAACAAACTTGAAAGAATGTGACACTCACGTTATTACTGCTGGCAAGTTCAAACACACGGTTTCAATACCATCATCAACCTCTCTGTCCACTGTGGCGGCCTGTTTCTCTTTATCAAGGACAACCTACTGGAAAGAAGCAGTTAGTTATAAAATAATTTAAAATTATAGCCTAAAATGGCACAATGTTTGATCTAACAAGGAATGAAGGATAAATCCCATTAACAATAATGAAGAAGTTACAAGAAACATATTTCAGGCTCAGTACAAGACTCAAGTCCTCCAAAAGAGCAAAATTCATCATAAACCATCCATGATTCATAAGTGGCCGAGCCATTACAATTAATACCCTATGGTATAAATCATTAATACACATTCATATATCCATAATCATTAGATCTTAGAAGTTCCCTGACTCTTTTCTTTATTTCTAGTCTAACAGCATCTTTGGATTTAGGCTTTGAAAATCCTCAAACCATGGTTAGTGCAAAAGCTTGCTTCTAACTTCTAAGAGGTTGAAGAATTTGCACAAATCACAATCTGGAAACATGCTAGTAACGTTTTGTCATATATACATACCCAACTTAAGATGTTATGTTTATACCTGATCTTAAATAAAATGAACAAAAAAGGTTGGGTAACTCATGAGTCATGATTAATTATTTCACAAAAGGCTCAATATTCCTATTCTAGTAAACAAAAGATGGATGAGGCAATGATAAGCGCGGCAACGGTATGCACATTTTAAAAGAACATGAGAAATTTTAATCAGTGCTTCTGGTATTCAAAGCGAACAATTACCTTTGATCAAACTGGGATTAAGAATGGAGAGAAATGATAATAACAATTTGAATACAATGTGCTAACATGATATGTAGCTTAAGCATGACATAGATAGTCATGAAGGAAATGAACAATGGCCTTGCTAACTGAATACGTGGATGATGGAATGGACTAACCTTTGAAGCAAAAGTCCCTTGAGGCCAGTTGAGAAGTCCTGCTATCATCTGCCCGGTTTGATTGCAATCATCATCAATGGCCTGACAAAATTAAGGAAACAAAACACAACTTAATAGACAACAAAAAAATCCTCCAAATGTTCTCCAATGGATGAGTTTCGGATGTATATACCAAAAACTTGTTCCCACAAATTTTCACAGACAAGCAAGCACAAATAATCCCATAAAATCCCAAGCAGACAGGTGAAAAAATAAATCAAAGCACATCAAAATCAGAAGTCAACCAATCAAGCAGGTCCTCCTCGTACAGGGAAAAAAAGTAGGGCAAAAAAGATAAATGCCCACACCCAAAAACAATCAAATCCACCATGGTTTGTCAATAGTCATCATCATAATTAAACAACTAAAATTCACCAGCCAACATTAATATCAATTTTCACAAACAGCCCAATATTTATTTTTATTTTTTTTAAAAAAGGAGAATACCTGTTTGCCAAGAATGAGAAGACCGGGTTTCTCAATCTCCACAAGCTTTCTCAAAATCTTGGCAACAGAGAGTGGATAGAGAGAAACATTGGAGTCGACGTGAATGCCTCTGTCAGCCCCCATGGCAAGACCAGTTCTGAGAGTGTCGACACACTGAGAGGGCCCCATGCTGACGGCGACAACCTCGGAGGCCAACCCAGATTCCCTGATTCGCAGTGCTTCTTCCAACGCGATCTCGCAGAAGGGGTTCATGGACATTTTAACGTTCTGGGTTACCACCCCAGTCTGCAAAAAAGGCATCTTTGTGAGGCACATGGTGGAAATAGAGTGAGAGTATTGATGTTACTTACCTTGTCGGGTTTGACCCTTATTTTGACGGCGTAATCGACCACTCGCTTGATGGCTACCATTATCTTCATGTTGACGAGGGGAGCGATGGAAGGTGCTCTGTGTCTGTGTTTTCTCTTTTCTCTGTGGAGCGGCAGATTATATTAATATTAATATTAATGGGCGTTGCAAATGAATCAGTGGTTGCATGTGCTGTGTTGGAGGGCTTGGAATGGAACTTGTTTCCAAGGGGATGGATAAAGGACAAGCTTTATGGGAAGTGAATACTAGACAAAACTCAGGACCAATATTTTACATTATTTTTATTCTTTTTAATTATAATTAAATATTTATGATAATACAGCTAAATTTTGACAAAATAAATATTTTTTTCAAAATTAAGAAATATATTATATTTGTTTATGTTAAAAAAATGAGTTTCCTAATATTATTGTTTTTCTTTCATATATGATAAATATATAAATTATTTAAAAGTTAGATAAAAAATATAAATAAAAATTTAACAATTACTGTTATCGACTTTTAATTATATAAATAAGTTCTTTGAGAAGTGGACAAATAAAAAATTATTTATATTTTTTTTGTTTATTCACTTTTGCTTACTTTTACAATTTTGTCTTTAATCATATTTTCTAAAACTAAAAATCCAACCCATATATTTATCTCATGAAATAAATAGAATATTTACTCATGCAATTTTTTTTTCACTTTTCCTTGTTTATTTTTTTAACAAAAATAAAAATCATTTAATTTTATTTTTTTAATATGGAATACTAATAGACATGTTGACAAACGTATTAAAAAAAATTCTGAGAATATTTTTACATGTATAATCTTTTATTTAAATGAAAATAAATCCTTTGTTACTTAAATAAAATGGAAGTTAACTTAAGTAATATTATCTTCTTAGATTGAAGTGATTGTAAGTCTTTTATAAATAATGTTTTAGTTTGAGACTTTTTCTATCTTGTAATAGGACATCATTTCCTTCCTTCAAAATTTATTCACCATGATAAAGTGATAGATGTTTGATTTCTTTTAAAGAAAATCTTAAATATATGTATAATATGTTAAGACTAATTTTGAAAAAAAAAAGGAATCATACATAAAATTTGAACCCAATATCTTATTAAAGAGAAATTAAGAGTGTATCACTTAAACCAACCTTTCCAAAAAAAAATACTTGTGATTTAAAAAACAAGGTTTCATGTTTTCAAAATTTTACTATTGATTAAAGTTTATACAAAATTTATTAAAATTTAAAATATTAAATAATAACCCTGTCGTCCTCCTTATGCTGATAGTTAAATTTTCAGACTACACAGCCTCCATTTGCATGGCTCTTTATTTTCTTAATATAGCTTCTAAACCCAAAAGAAGTACAAGAAAGAATTGACATGTATCATATCTGTCGAGGTTGGTGCTACAATTGATCTTATAGTTATCCTAGAGGTTGCTGCTTATCTTATACGACACGCCAAATAAGGCTTGAAACGACAAATATGACTAAGTTATACGAGGCCTTCCATCTTTATTTCATGCGTTGACCGATTATGTTTTTAAGGAAACGTCCATTATCTCCAACATATTAGTTTGCAGCCTAATCAGTACAGATATTATCTGCATTTTTCACCTTCAATTGATAATGCTATGAGATTTTTACTTCTGCCAGACACAAATATGATCATGAATTAACCATCTGAACCTGCCCATGAATCGAAATCTAGTTACTTTTCGCCAATTTAATTCCTTGTAATTGTTACGCTTTATAAGTTTGAAAATCGAATTTAAGAGATTCAGAATTTGTGTCTCTTGATGGTAGCTTGGTGGTTGAAGCTACAGGGATTTATTAAAAAAAATAGATTAGCAATTGAGGTTTTACAATGAAATTTCAAAAGTAATTTCTGGAAGTAGCCCAAAAAGCCCAACATGGATACAGATACAAAAACAATGGAGCACCAAAAGAACTTCCCCATTTTAGAGCCCAGAGAAAGAGTAAAGCCCAATAAATCTGCTGGACGGGCCGGACCCAAATTTAAAAGATGCACGTTTTGAAATAAATTGATGTGTTTATTATAAGAAAATTTGTGAGGTTGCTTCCAACAAGAAGAGACAATGAGGCCCCATGACACTGAAGATTATTTTTCCTATTTTCGGGGATTGAGTTAACTTCTTTGAACTTTTTGTCGTGTTTTTTCCCTTTACCTTTTGACAAAGATGAAGCATCTCACGGGTTCCTGAAGTGTGCAACAGATCTTGTAGCCCCTGCCCATGCTTACGTGCACATGGCCTTGAAAGAGTGCAGCACTTAGGAGGACTCTATTATGAGAAAGAAGAATAGTAGGAGATGCTTTGAACAAAAGTTCCCTGTGATTTACTTTAGAGTGAAAGTTCATGTAAAATATGAGTTAAGATCATATCAACATTATGTTTTAAATTAGAGTTGACCCTGCCAGTGAGCTTAAAAGAAATTAACATGTGGAGACAAATATTTGGTTGGGAAAAATCATAACTACAATGATGAACTAGTACCAATAAGTGTTGCTATTCTTTCATTAGTTATATAAAATATTTCAACCGCAAATTAATGATTGATTCTCACAAGCTGGAAACAGATGAAACTGTGGAACAAAAAAGCATCACCAAACCCACCAAATATGACCAAACTTTTCTTTCCATCTACCAGCATTACAACACACACAGACACAGTGTGTACAGAAATATAATTTTGGTGGTTGTATAGTGTATACTATTTATCAATGAGAAAAGACCCCTCGCTCGCTCTTTTTAAATCAATTTTGGGATACCTTTACCTATCCACTTTATTCACCCTTGGATTCTCCTATTCGGTAATTGGTCGACTTTTCCTTTTTTTTTTTTTTTCTTTTTGCTTCATTCCTACCAGTACTTTTCTTTAAAGCCAGATTTGCTTGTTTCTCCTTTTGATATATCTAGAATAAGACATGGAAATGATGGAATAACATAATTGATCCATAGCGGGAAAACTTTCTTCTTCGTAAAGCTAATATGTGATGATTTCAGCAATGATGCTCATTATCATAGCTCCATGCGGTTTGAAACAAACTAGGCCAGCCAGACCTCAACAACATGCCATTATATACACTCATAAACGTAATAGACAAATAATGGTTTCAAATTAAAATTAAATCCAATCGAATATTTGTGTGTCATACAATCCTATGACCTATTCATACATCTAACATCTCTATCTCAAAAAAAAAAGAAAAAAGAAAAATAAAAATCTAAGAAACTTGCAAGTTGCAAACATAATTGAAAGAGAGAGGAGGGAAAACAAAAGAGGAATTTCGGTTTTCAGGGGGCCAAATAAACAGGTTGCACAGAACTTCTGGATCTACTTCCATGTCCAAAGGAAAAGAATGATCTTTTGGCTCTACCACTTCCGCTGCATCCTTCAATGGAGCTTACATCATTATTGACTTGCTTGTTTCGTTGCTTCAGAGCTTCTTGAACTGCTAAATAAAATTGTCTATCTCCCGATGAATCCATAGAGAAAGACCTTCTGATGGGTTGAACTGAAAACTGGTCATCTTTGGCTCTAATATCAATACACTCATCCCCCATGCTTGTCACTTTATTAAGTTTCATTGCTTTCTTCTGCTCAGTTCTATGCTCCAACTTCCTTCGTGAAGGACTAACAGGACATGTTGGTAACTCCATAGCATTGGCTCTTTCTTGTCTTCCTTGCAAATTTTGGCCTCTACCATGATCATTACCCAATTCAATCACGACAAAATCTTCATCACCACCAATGAGGTTTTCCATTGGTGGGTTTTGATCTTGAGGGGAAGAAGGCCTTAGAGAAAGAAGCTGATCAATATGGAATCTGCTTGTCAAGGAAATGCTTGTTCTACAAAGAGGGCAATTGGCATTGTTCTGAAGCCAAACATCTATGCAATCAATGTGAAAGACATGGCTGCAGTTAGGTATAATCCTGAGTTTCTCATCTTCTTGAAACTCATTCAAGCAAACAGCACATTCACATGTGCTTCTTTCTCCAAACTCTCCATTTCCTTGTGTTTTGTACTGAATCACTGGGATTAACCGGATCACAGCCTCATCTAATCCACGAGTTTCTGTGCCTGGTGAGTACATTGGTGATCTATCTTCACGCCTCCTAGATGGAGAGAAACGTCTTAAAAGATCAATACGGTGCCAATTGAGGCAGCATTTGATCACAAAGATGTAGTAGCTCACCAGCAAGAAAGCTGTGGCCATTATTCCTATAATAGCAATTGCAATGATGGGAAAACTGGTGCTAGAAGAATGCAGATGAGGATGGAAGATTGAACTACTAGGACTTGTGATTGGAGAAAGAGCCTGTGACCCATGTTGTGACACATAGATCAAGTATCTTTTGCTTACAAGATCCATACCAGATGTTACAGAAAAGAATGAAGACAAAAGGGTTCTCTCAGATCTTGAATATAAACAGAAGACATGAATAGAATAACTCAGCAATGCAAGAGTTCAGAGAAAAAAATAAATAGCACTTTTATATATAGTAATATGTATTACTTGGGGTAGGTTGTGACTTTCATCAAGCAGAGAAAAACAGAAAATGGAAGTGAACAAAGTAAATGAATCAAGTACATGTTTGTTATCAAATTGAGAGGAGAACTAGTTTTGAATGAATGAAGAGTGGAGAGAGAATTAAAAGCAGATTGAAGTCCATTAAGGGAGAAGAGAGCAAACCTAGGTGGTGTTTAAATGAGGGTGGTGATGCTGAGGGGGACAATGCATTAAGGACTTGAAATTCATTGAAAATGTTGTCAAAAACTTGTTTTCTTTATTAAGGTTGGAGGGTGGAGTCTTAGCTCAGAGTACGTAGTTGGTGAATTTCTCAGAAAATTAGGCTAGAAAATTGTTCAAGTGTCTCGGTCACAGCTCCTATATTTTATAATGTAGCAGCAGCGTATGATCCAGTTTAAAAATTGGAGACTTTATGGAATGGATGACGGTCTATTGAGAGTGATAGTGGTTAACACTGACCAATGCTGGAACATATCATCATGTTTTTATTGCCATTGGCATTTAATGAAAAATTATTGATTTTTTTTATGTCTTTTGCATAAGCATTTCTATTTCAAGGATTTCATCATAATTAATCATGGAGCGTACAAATAATTCCGTTGTGTCCTTAAAAGAGACTCCTATTTCGCAAGGCATCCCAAAAGTACTTTTTCAAATATTTTTTGTCCCTTTCTTTTCGACTTTTATATTTTTCAAATATGCTCAAACTTCAATAATACAGATTAAGCAGATTTCCAAACTCATGAAGAAATTTTAGTTTTATATAAATACTGATATATACCATTTATATTAGTACGAATGGTAGAGTACATACTTAATATCCATATTTATGCTTTACACAGTGACATGGTAATTAATGTTATAGACACGAAGTCACCTTTGGCATTTGTTGCCTTGTTGGCTCCTTTTTTCATAAAGTTTTTGTCCCCACAAGATAAAGGAAAACTTTAGTACTAAAATTTTACAACAGAACGTTAATGATAATTGTTCTCCACATTCAATCATTCACGCGTTATTAATCCAAAAAGATCAAAAGCATTATCAACTCACGTATAACGGTTGGAATTTAACAGAGAAAGGTACAAATTACAAAATATTAAAGATAGAAAACATATTACATGAACAAGGATAATGAAGTATTACATGTATTGATTTTTCTAATCACTTTTAAAATCTATACAACAAGATTAATGAAATATTTAATATATCGTTAATATACAAATCGAGGGCTAATTATTCAACGAGGAGTCATTGAGCTTTCAATTATATCATAAATCATAAAGAAAAGTGTCGCACCCCACATGCAGCCCACCAATGAATCCTTAATCACAGGGCTGACCGTTGATGGAAAATATTGACTCTGATGAGCATATGAAGAACATTTTTGGTCTTTTGCCCTCTGCCACCGCCTATCTTATTTGAAAAGCTTTGGCCAAATGAAGTCTAGAAGTCTATACGTTAGGGGAAAAAAATTCTAGTGGGTCCTCAATTCTTGATACAGTGCCTAATGGCAAAGTCAAATCCGTGTGCAGTATTTATCTTTTATATAGAAAGCATGAAAGGTCCAGAACCGACACTTACTCATATTTGGCTTGTTGACAAGCAGTGGAAAGAGATCAACTAAAGTGAGAAATAAATACAGAGAGTCACCCTTTTGCTTTCCAAGTTTCAAAAAGTGTTTCACACATTAGTCAAAGGTTGAGGCCTATGGGCCTCCTCGCTTCTGCCAGAAGAAACTTCCCACAACTTTTGGATAAAATTAACCAACTATTTGAAAATCTAAGCCTGTGTCCAAACTTGGCAGAATGGAAAATAAAATTAAATCTCCCCTTATCTATGTGGGGGGGTTCATTCCAATAGTATATGCAGTTTCTTCTCAGCATTGGTTAAAGTAATAGCTATCTCAACGATGAAAAAATATTTTTGGTTGCATTTGTAATTATAACATACCCCCTTTTAGACGCACAAATTTTAAAATGCATCTGTCAGTATGACAATTCATAGCGTCTAGGATGTATACATAAAGTATGTGTGCTGGAGTAGCTTAGTCAAATTACTTTGGTGAATAAAAACCTTTTAATGCGGTTAAGTGACTGGGACTACAGAGAAAATGAGTAGGGGATGAAAATGTTAACCACATTGACAAGCAACTTTAAAGATGAATCATTTCTGCTATAAATGTTATTTACAATTTAGTTTATGAAATACATGGGACAATATAAAATTTAACATAGTTTAAGCAATATCTGTAAGACTTTAGTTTTAGATAACTTATTTGGTAGGTATGTCACTAACACTACGCGTTATTTTAATTAATAAAATTTATTTTTAATTTTTTAGACATTTCAAAATTAGAAATATGTGTTATCAAAATTTGTTTAAATAAGAGAAAAATTACGAGTATTAATTATTTTTTACTTAATTGAAAAAAGAAAGAGAAAAAAAATAAATTTTAAAAAAATTTAATTTTTATTTCTTCTCATTTATCTTTTAATTCAAAAATTTTCTTCTCTTTATTTTCTTTTAACTGTAACAAACAACGAGGACATATTATAAAAATTTAAAAAGTAGGCAAATAATCGTCTGAATAATACATCCTATTTTTTTCTTAGAGGGCAACTGCTCCTATTTTTATCAACCTAGTTTCATCCCTGGTAAGTGTGTTTAACAGTTGTAGAAGAATGAAATGATCCATATGCTACATATGCATTTAAAAGATATCAATTGAAACTGAAATTTAATTATACGTAAACCACACTACACTCTTGACCAATCAAAAAATAAAATAAAAAAAAAATATATATATATATATATATATAAATTTAATTTTTTAGTTAACTTAAATTAAACCGAATTAATAAATTATAATTTATTAAATTTAAGTTAAATAATTTTTTTTTAGATTTATATAAAAATTATGTCCTATATATATATATAATTTTTTTTTAAATTTGACATTTAAATATTTTTAATTAACATTTTAAAAATACTAATCATCAAGGCTAATAATTCCTTCGTTGAGAAGTTGCAGACGTGGCAGAGGCCCCGGGTACTGACCATTGTCAATATCTAGGCTGAATGTAACATATGACCAATATTATTTTTGCAGATTTCATTTTCAAATTTAAAATTCCAATTCAAAGTCTTGGTCTCCAAGCTTGTTGACTCAAGTTATATTATTTGAGGATGGAAAAAATTTCCCCATTTAATACGATGGCAGCACATGTGTCCCCCTTGTTGAGCATATATCTGCAACTTGTGAATGGCTTCTATGTTTCCAGTGAAATATTGGACCACTTATGCTGAGGGAAAATAATACATACAAATAGTAATATAGTGTGATGAGGAAGAGGCACATGGACATGGTAAAGAGGTCACAGCTGTTGGTACACACTAGACAGTTTACTAGGGACAAGAGCTGAAGACACACAAAGTTAAAACCAAAAGAAAAAAAAATCCTCAAATTTTCACAATTATTTTACCTATTATGTCACTTCAGGACGCAACCAGCTTGCGTTTAATGTTTTCTTTTCCGGTGAGGGAGAGTACCCTTAATTTCTACAAGTACGCAAAATTTCTTCCCTAATCTATTGACTACTCAAATCTTAACTCCTATTTAATTTTTTTAAATTATTGAACATATTATGTATGCTTTGTATTAAAAATACAAAAGAATTATAATGTTGGTACAAGTGATAAGACTAAAACTGCATCAATTAAGTTGACTTAGGTTAAAATCTTGTCAGAATTCAATACTGGCATGAATTATTTGTGTTTTCAGAAACTCATTGAAAATAAGTTATTATTCATTCAATAATAGTAATATTTTTATAATAATTTGGTAATCATACTTTAATTAGTGCTTTCTCCAAGGATAAATTCACAAAAAGGTGTCAAATTAAGCATTAAAGCATTAATATTTAATAATCTAAGTGATAAAGGGTAAATTCAATTCTCTTTAAAAAAGTTTGTGTTTAAATATTTGCAAAATAAAAATGATAGACACTAAATAAGTTTTGTTCCTTAAATTAAAACCATTCAACTTAGTTCAAATCAACTAAATATTAAAGAAACTTCTATATATCAAGGTTTTGAAAAAAGAAACAACAAAGTAGAGTGATAAATTAAACAAAAACTGTTATCAATACTTTTCTCCAAGGCGTTTCCTTATCCACTATTAATTGTTGTAAGAAAACATAATCTAACTTGAGTAACTTCCAATCATTTGTAAATTTATTACTTGAGACGGGGGAGGGAAGGGGTAATCAAATTGTGTTTGCACTGATTCAATGTTGAAAACGTAGGAAAGTCCGAAGAAAGCTGCTATTCGTATACGCGAAATATATTTCACATAAATCGTAATTATGTGTATTCGATTAAACTACCAAATTAATTATCCAAAATATTAAATAATACTAATTTAATTCTAATTTAAATGGTTATGTGACGTTGGATCAACTGTTTAACAATTCTATTATTTAAACAACTATAAATTAATAACATATTATATATAATTCCTTTTTATTTTTTACTTATTTTTTATCCATTTTTATATACATGTAATCTAAAAACATACCCGAAGAAGAAAAAAAAAACAGAAGGAACTCTAAAATTTGTCGCTAAAGGTTGTCAAGTTGAATCCTAAATTTTAGAGAAACGAATAATTTGTAATTTTTCCTTGTTTTATAAAAAACTTGAACCCTAGATGGAAAAAAGAAAATAACACTAACATATTTTCCTATTTAGAATGTTTATGGATACACGTCATAAGCCCAATATATATATGAAACAATCTCTATTAATGGTAAATTTTCTATCACGTGATTCTGCATGGAACCGGTCAAACCAGCAATATTAGTTTTGTTCATTGCTGTATTCATGAGTTGCTGCGTTTTCACATTATTTCAGAGCCTTTTTTTTCTTTTGAAAGGTTGAGAGACATTACTCACCTGCGATTGTGCACGTGCCTTCACGTGTTCTGCAGGCCGTCCTACGAGGAAAATAGTTCTTTTCCCGATTAAGATCTCTGTACTCTGTACCGTGTTAAATCAACTCTTTAAATCACTCCTCAGATTCAAATATTCCACGTAACAAAACAAATAACCCTCCATACTTGCGTTATTTTATTTTATCAATTTTTTTATAATGATTTCAGATTCATTAGTCGACACAAATTACCTAATACTCGCACCTCCTTTTTCATGTAATAAAGCAACTTGATCCAAGAAAATTTTTCGTCTCCTTTTTTATATGATTATTTTTTATTTTGAAATTATAAAAATGTAGATTTTTTAATAAAACTATAAGAATATGGTTTAATTTTAAAAATTTGAATGATATTTTTATTATCAAAAAATTAGTTACACCCAAAAGTCATTGTTGACGAAATTTTAAGAAAATCTATAATTTTTTAGCATGAAAAATTATTATTGGTAAATGAT